GCTCTGTCTGCCAAGTGGCAAATAGACTGGGCTCTGTTCTGGGAGATTCCGGGCCTTTCTGAGCTGGGCTGTCGGCCTGTAGTCCTTCTGCAGGACCTGGAGAAGGGGTGGGGGGAGGTTGGGGGGGCCCATGGGTGATGTTCAGGGGATCTCTGGACAGAAACAACACTGGATGCTGGGTTTACAAAACCAGGCAGCACACTTTGCCAATTTAAAGTTTTCAAATATTGCATTAAATCATAATTTATCTTGATGACTGGGTTTTTTTCTTGCTCCCTTTAATTTTGCACCTGAGGCAAAGGCCTCACTCCTTACCCTGGTCCTGGGTCTGGCCCACAGCTCCTAGTGTCTGTGGTTTACTTGGAAGAACCTGGAGCCTGGTTTCTGGCCCCGACTGCCCCCCTACGCCCCCAGGGAGAACCAGGGCTGGGAGGGGTGCCACCACGCCACCCGACCTGCCACTCTGTGTATCGGGAAGCTGCCTCCTTCCCGTCGTCTGGGCGGGTGGTGCTGGCCAGCTGCCACTGAGCTTTGCGGGCAGCCCAGCCCGCAGAAGTGACCTCCCTCTGGGTAGGGCCCAGAGGGGAGCTGTGGAGGGGAGGGTGATGGAGTTCTTAGAAAGCTGACACTAGGAAGGGATCATCCAGGTGGCACAGGAGGAGGCAGGGGCTCCTGGACCACAGGAGGGTGGGGCAATGGCTTTTCCAGGGCCTGTCTTCATCTCCCAGCCCTCCTGTCTCCTGCCTGTGGGGCCGGGCTTCGGCTTGTCCACTGGGGCGGCTGTGGTGAGGAGGAGCCCCAGGATGATTGCCGTGCCGGACTGTGGCCCCTGAAAGCCAGGCAGCGCCCAAGTCCAGCCTGGCGCACACGTGGGCTGTGGCCGGACTCCCTGGGGCTCTGACAGCGGCGCTGCTCTGGAGGAAGTTTGTGTATCGATCTGGGGGTTGAGATTCCTGGGCAGGAGCCGCTGGTGGAGCCGCAGCTTCAGACTCAGCGAGAGCAGGAACTGGTGCCCAACTCGCCTGTGTTACTGTGCGGTGTAACCACCTTGACTTCCCTCTCTGGGCAATGGCTTGAAATCCCCAGCTCATCACAGCCCTTAAGTGAGGTGGTCTGTGGCAGGTGCCCAGCCCCACACCAGCATGGGGGACGTGTTCATGCAGCCTTCACCCTCTTTACCGCCATCTCCAGTTACTCATCAGGGCCCATTCCTGGGACTAACTCTCCTCCTCGTCCAGGTCAGTGGCTTTGGGAGTTAGGGCCTCATCCTAGGCCCATGCCCACTGTCTCCAGCTGGTACCCTATCCTCTGGGTCACAGTCCTGTCCCATTGGCACCTGCAAAACATGCTGGTGCATAGAATGGGCTGGCATGGGGCTGCCTGGCTCTCTCTGACCCCAGAGGACCCCATGCCAGGATGTGCTGGGCAAGCGGGGGGCCCCAGGGTGAATGCCTGGCTCACCCCACAACACCTGGATCCCAAAACTCGGGGGGCCCCTTCTCTACGTCATCTCTTCTGCCCACCCTCTTGTTCTGAGGGGGCTGGTTGGTGGAGCAGAAGCCGGCCCCTTGCCGACGGGCTCTGACCCTCAGGACTGCAGTTCCCCACTGCCTGCTCCCACTGTCTCTGGGGATCCTGATTTGATTTCCTCCAATCGCCAGCATTGCCATCTGCCCATGTAATTAAATGGTATTTGAACTGGATCCAGAAATCCCATTGCCAGCAGCCCACGCAGCCGGGAGGGCGTCTCCGGGAGCTGGTGCTGGTCGGTGAAGCTGCTGGGTCTCTGGGCCACTCTGAGGCCGCTTCCTGCGCCTCCCCTTGGCAGGCTGAGCCCTGCCCCCAGCCACCCAGAAGCACAGGCGCACTGAGGAGGCGGCACACGCAGTGCCTGGGTTCGCGCCCCTGCCACCCCTGCTGCCTGCCACTGGCCGGGCATCGTCTGCGCCCTTGCCCACAGTGGGGACCACGGTGTCCCCCTCGGGTGAGGGCTTGCACATCAGCGCTCAGACGCCGCCCGGCATGTGGCCGCGTGGGCGCGTGTCAGCCGCCGCTGTCAGTGGTCCGGGGGAGCCCTGCAGCCCTGGCGTCTTACGGGTCTGCAGTTTCTGGTCTGCAGGCTCAGAGAGGATGGGTGGACTCCCCAGCTCCCTTCCCAGCTGCCAGTTGAGGGGGGAGACTGAGAAGCTGGGTTCTAACTCCCACCTGGCCCGGAACAGCTGGATAAGGTGGAGGGGGTGGTAACCTCCTGGGATGTCTGTCCCTGGCGGCCTCCATGGTGTGCGGACCCCTCACACCTGAGGGGAAATGCTTCTGAAGAAAGGCCAGGCCACCATCCATGGGTGTGGACTGGGCCTAGTGTCCTAACCACCCTGTGCCGCCGGCTCCTTTAACCCCACCCGGCAGAGTGCAGGGAGCAGGCTCAGGTGAGCACCTGGTCTGCGGCTCTGAGCGGGCCTTGGGGGCTGGGCAGCCTGGGACAGGGACAGGATGGTAGCTGGGAGGGCCCGGCTCTGTGGCGAGGCGCCCCTGGGCCCTGGATGCCTGCCGCTGGCCCTCCCGCTCTTTTCTTCTCTTGGTAAATGTTGGCTTAGGGAGAGGGAGGCTGACAAGTGGCTCATTGTGAGTGCCCGAGGGGCTGGCTGCGTGAGCGCCAGCGCCCAGCCCCCTTTACTTGAGGCCTTGGGAGGTGCTCTCTGCCAGGCCCAGCACGCATGCTCGCTGACTCCCACTCGGTTGCCATGGGGACCTCGCCCCAGCAGTGGCTGCTTGAGAGGGACCTGGGGTGGCTGGAGGGAGATGGCCCTGTCCATGGCTGCGCCCTGATGCCACTTCTCTTCCTCTTCACAGGGGCCCCCAGGGTCTGGGATGTGGGCCCCTCCTGTGGCTGCTGTCCCTGCTGGAGGTCCCCGCCCTGCTCCAACCTTCACCTCCACCAGGTCTGCAGGGTTGCACCTGGTCTGGCCCCCTCGGCTCCCAGAGAGGGGCCAGAGCTTGTGCCTGAGATGTTCCTCTGGCCTCTGGGAGGGGGCTCCTGAGCTGAAGGACCCCTGCAGCCCCTGGAGGCCTGGCCCTTCCTTCCCCAGTGTGGTCCTGGGCTCTGCCTCCCCAGAGGGGGCCAGCTGTCTTCTCTCCCCTGCTCCGTGGGACGCGGACTTCTGGGGCCCCCCAGGCAATCGGGAGTGTGTGCTTTGATGTCAGATCGGTCAGGTTCTGTTACCAACCTTGGGCAGGTCATGTAAACTCTCTCAGCCTCTGTTTTCTCGTCTGTAAAGCTGGGTAAGGAATACACACCTCACAGGTTTCAGGTAAAGGACACATGAATTCATTTAGGTAAAGTGCCGTCAGCATGGATTCGCCGTGCAGAGCACTTGGAAAGTGAGCAGCCACTGCTTCTGATGGTGTCGGTGTAGCTCCTGCTGTTGCTGTTACTGTAGTGTTCCCGAGCTGCCCTCATTCTCGGGGAGGGGGCTCCTGAGTGTCCTTCCTTCCCCTCCCACTTGCGGAACAGGAGGGGCCTGGTGGGGGCACATGTTGGCAGGCAGAGGCGGGGAGGAGGGCCCCCTGCAGCTGGGCCTGACCCAGGACTCTCCCCGCCCCGGGCAGGATCCGGCCTCAGCTGTCAAAAGAGAAGATTGAGGGCTGTCACATCTGCACCTCGGTCACCCCGGGGGAGCCCCAGGTTCTCCTGGGGAAGGACAAGGCCTTCACCTATGACTTTGTCTTCGACCTGGACACCTGGCAGGAGCAGATCTACTCCACCTGTGTGAGCAAGCTGGTGGAGGGCTGCTTCGAGGGCTACAATGCCACGGTGCTGGCTTACGGGCAGGTACGCCGCCCCACCCCGCCTACCTGGCCACTCCAAGCCCGAGCGCCCTGGGAGCAGCTGCGGTTTTGACTGCTGGCATCCGCGGGAGGGCTGGCAGTCAGGGCGGACTCCGCAGGGTGTGGTTTTGGGTCGGGTGGGCGGGGATCCAGGCTGGGAGATAACCGGGGTCCGGGCTCGCTGGTGCCCCCAGGGGTGCCGGGTGACGCCGTCCCTCCATCCTTGCAGACAGGGGCCGGGAAGACGTACACTATGGGCACTGGCTTCGATGTGGCGACATCGGAGGAGGAGCAGGGCATCATTCCGAGGGCCATCGCCCACCTCTTTGGGGGCATTGCTGAGCGCAAGCGGCGGGCACAGGAGCAGGGCGTGGCTGGGCCTGAGTTCAAAGTCAGCGCCCAGTTCCTGGAGGTACCTATGGGTGGGCCGGGGAGGGACAGGGACAGCGAGACTGTAGAAGCCGGGCTCCGGGCCGGCGCAGCGGAAGAGGCCTCGGTGGGCGAGGAGCTCCCCGCTGCTGGGCACATCCCAGCCGGAGCTGGAGTACTTCCAGCTGGGACCCCGGAGGTTCCCTGCTCCGATGGGGCTGGGGTCAGTGAGAGCCTTTAGGAGCTCTTCACACCCTGACTGATCAGCTCTGACACTTCCCAGCCAGGTAACCTTGGGCAGGTCATTTCTCCACTCTGCAGAACGGGAGTGACAACACCTATTTCCCCGGGGCTTTAGGGGTGACAAGGAAGCGCAAGCCCGGCACAGAGTGGGAACTCTGGTTCTCACCCCTTCTTCTGGCCTCCAGGAGTCCTCCGCAGCCTCAGAGTGGCCTGCCCTGTCCCTTCCTGGCTGAGGTCCTTCCTGACCCTCTGAGCCTTCTCTGACCCCAGGACAGGAAGTTCCCCCAGCGGGGCCTCTCTTTGCAACTGGCCCTGCCTCTGTCTGGGAGAAGGTCAGGGTGCCGAGCCTGGGGATTATGGCAGCTGAGGGCTTGGGGATGGGGAGGGGACCTCCGGCCTGTATAAGTGGCTCTCCGAAGCGCCCCTCGGAAGGCCAGTGGACCTGGATTCTTCTCGTGAGCTCCCGGCTTGCCTAGTCTCCTGCTCTGGGACGCTTGAGCCAGGCAGCTCCAGGTCCCAGCATCCAAGAGCTCAGCCCACAGACCCGACCCTGGGGCATGTGCCGGGTGTGAGGCCGGGCTCCTGCCCGTGTGCCCTGTGCCCTGACTGCGCCGGGTGGTCCTCCGAGGGAGGGATGTGGTCCCCGCTCTCCAGGTCTGTGTCCCACCCCCACTGCCTCCTGGGTGTGCGGAGGGCTGCCTCCCTCTTAAGGAAACTGATTTTAGACTCGAGGGTTTCTCTCTGTCCTTCTGGACTTTTGTTTCTGAGGAAGAGTCTGCCTCTGTGTGTGTGTGTGTGTGTCCTGCACCGTGTGTCTCTAGAAGCTTCCTCATCTCTTTGTTTTTCCCTTTCTCCATCCTTTTGCATAGAGAGCCCCAAAGAGCAGTCCAGTACCTAGAAAACCATGCCAGGGGGAACTCACAAGGGGTTAAATGATGCTGTACGTCTGTCCCAAAAGACAGACAGACAGACACCAAGGCCCCACATCTGTACCAGCCCCTCCCGTTTCCTCTTCCCCTTCCTGTGGGGTGTTTCTGTCCCTTTAAGGCCATCAAAGCCTCGGATGTCTGAGTGCTATGGCCTGCCCCTCCCTGCAGAGGGCTTTGTTGGCCACTGACCCAGCTTCCCAGGCCCTCCGGCCCTCCAGCCCCCGCTCCCCGCCTGGTGAAAATTCCAGCAGGTGAAACCTTCCCTGCCAGCAGTTTCAAATGCAGGCGTCTCCAAGGCAGAGACCATCTGAAATGGGGCAACTGCCCCTGGCCAGGCCCCCTCCCAGTGGTGTCCCCAGATGCCCCTCAGAGGCCGGGCCACAGGCCGCTCTCCATCAGCCCGGGACCATGGGGGTTGGGGTGCTGCTCCCAGCCCTGCCTCCCCTCATCGGGAACCGCATCCCGACCTGGTAGCATCATGGGATCTGCCCCAGCCCCATCGCATCCTCCTCACTCCACGAGGACTCCAGTCCCCTTGTCCCCTTCATGCCCTTACCCCCTGCCAGGGCCGAGCGCTCAGCGCTGCTTCCTCTCAGGATGGTTCTGCACGGGGACAGGCTGCCCCACCCCCGTCCAGGAGAAAAATCCCAGAACCCAAGCCCAGAGGGGACCCGGGTGGCCAGTTAGCCTCCCAGAGCCTTGGTTTCCACGTCTGCGAAGCCGAGCTGGCATGTGATACCAGAAAGCCCTGTGGGCCCTGCACGTGTGTCCAGCAGCCATCTCCCTGCTGCAGCTCTACAACGAGGAGATCCTGGACCTCTTCGACAGCGCCCGCGACCCCGACGCCCGCCACCGCAGGTCCAACATCAAGATCCACGAGGATGCCACTGGCAGCATCTACACCACGGGCGTCACCTCCCGCCTCGTTAGCTCCCAGGAGGAGGTGGGCGCCCTGGGAGCCGCCCGGGGCGGGGGGCAGGGCTGCGCGGCCAGCCGAGTCCTCATGCCTGCCCCCTCCCCAGCTGATCCAGTGCCTGAAGCAGGGCGCCCTGTCGCGCACCACAGCCAGCACCCAGATGAACGTGCAGAGCTCACGCTCCCACGCCATCTTCACCATCCACGTGTGCCAGATGCGTGTGTGTGCCCAGCCTGACCTGGTGAGGAGCCTGCGCGCATCTCCAGAGGTGGGGTGGGGACGCAGCCCAGGCTCTGGGGCCAGCACACCCGGGTTCTCTTTTCTGAAGCCTCAGTTGCCTCATCCGGGCAATGGGGCAGCCATACCCCCATGGTGGTGAGGACTGACCGAGAACCACACGTGCACTTGCTGTCCATGCTCTGTGTGTGCGAGGCCTCCCCCCGACCCCCGACGCTCTGCCGAATCCCCCGGCAGCACTGCCAGGGGCTGGGAGTCACCTGCCGGCTTCCCTGCAGGTGAACGAGGCCATGGCTGGGCTTCCTGAGGGCGCCGCTCCCACGAGCGAGTTTGAGACGCTCACTGCCAAGTTTCACTTTGTGGACCTGGCCGGCTCGGAGCGGCTAAAGCGGACGGGGGCCACCGGCGAGCGGGCCAAGGAGGGCATCTCCATCAACTGTGGCCTGGTAGGCACGCCGTGGCCAGCACAGCTCAGCCTCGGACCCTCCCCAGGCCCCACGGCCCACAGCTGTCCTGGCCTTCTCGGGACACTGTATGTCACTGCTGGGCCTTCACCCTCCCCCTGCCCCAGTGCCCAACTTCACCAACTATCACATCTGCCTCTAAACCCTTGGGGACTAGAGGGCTGCTGGGGTCAGCGAGGCAGGTGTGGACAGCTTGGGGATGGGGGGTCCCCACTCCTCTCCCCAAGTGCCTCTGGAGAGCCAAGTCTGTCTCCTGCAGCTGGCCTTGGGCAACGTGATCAGCGCCTTGGGGGACCAGAGCAAGAAAGTGGTGCACGTGCCCTACAGGGACTCCAAGCTCACCCGGCTCCTCCAGGACTCACTGGGCGGCAACAGGTACCCGACCGACATCGGGGCGATGGGAGATGTGAGGGCTGCTGGGGCACAGGGACGGGACGCTGGGGCATGAAGGCCCGCGGACAGGAGGCTCTCCCGCCCCTGAAGGCTTGCCGTGACCGTCGGTCAGTGTGGGGGGCTTCAGTTTCCCTGTCGGCACACCAGGGAGGGATGGTCCTGAAGAAGTGCTGGAGCCCAGGAGAGGCAGGGCCGTGGTTCTGGCCGTGGCACAGCACAGCCTCCCCGCCTCACTAGCCGCCCTCGCCGCGGTTGCTACGGTTGCAGTGGACACCGAGGCCAGGTGGTCCTGATCCCTACCTCCTGGGTTCCGCCCTGGGGCCTGCCCAGGTCCTTGGGGCCTCCGGGCGCTGAGGAGCAGAAGTCTGCTCTGAGGTGATGCTTCTGGGGCTGCCCTCGCCTCATCTGTCACCCCACCCCCCGCACTCTCCAGCCAGACCATCATGATCGCCTGCGTGAGCCCCTCGGACCGGGACTTCATGGAGACTCTGAACACACTCAAGTACGCCAACCGGGCCCGCAACATCAAGAACAAGGTGGTGGTGAACCAGGACAAGACCAGCCAGCAGATCAGCGCGCTACGGGCTGAGATCGCGCGCCTGCAGATGGAGCTGATGGAGTACAAGGCGGTGAGCAGGCCCATCCCCTCCCCGCCTGGCCGCACTGCTCGGGGGCATAACTGCGCACCAGTCCCGGCGTGGAGTGTGGGGCTCACCTGCTGACTCGCACACAGATCTCATGCACAGGGCAGGCGCTCTGTGCGGGGGTCTCCCGTCTGCTGAATCTGCCGTGTTGGGCCAGATGAGACCCCTAGGCTGCAGCACAGAGTGAGGACAGTTGATGGATCACGCGAGTGGCCCAGGGTGCAGGGGGGCTGCTGCAGGGGAGAGGGCTGGCCCTACTTGCTCAGGGAGGGCCTCACGGAGGAAGGGGCCTTCTGTGTGGGTTTTGAGGGATGAATGAGGAACCAGCAGAAGGAAGTGGAACAGGCATCCTAGGATGCCGACAAGCCCCGGGCAAAGGAACAGAGGTGGGAAAGCCGAGGGCCTCTAGGGAGGTGTCCTGTTCCATATGACTGAGGCAGAAGTCACCAGCCGGGGCCCCCGGCCCAAACCTGGCATGCAAGTTGGTTTTGGTTTGACTTGCCATTTGTTTTAAAAGTATGCAACGTAGTTGTCAACCTTTCTGAAAGTTAGGGAGCTTCAGATTTTCTTCAGAAACTTGCTACGTTTCTTTAGAAACGTATGCTACCAAGTTGGCTGGAGTGGCCCAGTGCTGCCCCTTTCAGACTGAGTGTGACTTTGTTTGCTGCAGTCCCCACCACCCCCTGTCGCTTACACCTCGACCTACTCATTTATGCCAGCCGCCTGGGCCCTTCGGGTTTTGACCCTTGGGTTAGTGTGTTTGGAGATAGGAAAGTGATCATTAGAAAAGGAGGTTGAGTGAGACGGTGGTGGCCTGGAGGGGCTGGTCACATAATTTGGACTTTTTGTTGTCATGGGGGCCGGGGTAAGTGTTCTGAGCATCTGGAGATGGGAAACCAGGGCAGGGGAGCCTGGCAGGGCTGTTATGGCAAGGGAGAGGCCTGGGCGGTGGCTGGGGCAGAGCATCGTCACCACTCTCCGCTCTTGACCGCTCCCCGCCTGCCCCTCCTCGCAGGGCAAGAGGGTGATGGGGGAGGACGGCACCGAGGGCTACAGTGACCTGTTCCGGGAGAACGCCATGCTGCAGAAGGAGAACGCGGCGCTGCGCCTGCGAGTGAAGGCCATGCAGGAGGCCATCGACGCCATCAACAACCGCGTCACACACCTCATGAGCCAGGAGGCCAACCTGCTCCTGGCCAAGGCCGGTGAGTGGGCTGCACCGCGCCTGCCCGGAGCACCGGCAGGCTGGGCCCTCTCCCGCCAGTCAGCTCCCAGGGCATGCTGTGACCACAGCCTCCACGAACAGGCACTAGGCCAGTGGAAGGTGACAGTCCCCGCTCGCTGAGCCCCCGTCCCTCATCCCCTCTATCCTCAGGAGCCTCGGTGGGCAGCGTGCGGTACACCTCCTTGCTCAGGACGCTCGCTCCGAGTCTGAATATCCATGCATGCATGTGTGCTCGTGTGCATGCGTGTGCACACACGCTTCTCTTTCTCTGTAAATGCGACCGTATGTGTTGTCCTAGGACCTCCTCTTCACTCGGCGCTGTGCTTCAGGAATCCTTCCGTGTTAAAACACATAAACCTACTTAATTCTCTTAGGCCACGCAGTGCTCCACATGTGATGGTGGTGAATGATTTATGTAACAGCCGCTCCTGACGGGCACTGGCTTGCTTCTAACCCCGCTGCTCCCAGCAGCGCTTGTGCATATCCGCGTGCAGACGCGGCCCTGTTTGGCAGAGGTCCCTTCCTGGAGAGGACCTGGTGTGCTGCCCTGTTGGAGGCACAGGCACCAGGCAGTAGCCTGCAGCTGAAGGGCGCCACTGCGCTAGCGTTCTGACCACCCCTCCTCCTCACCCTTCCCTCAGGAGACGGCAACGAGGCCATCGGTGCTCTGATCCAAAACTACATCCGGGAGATTGAGGAGCTGCGGTGAGTGAGCCTCAACCCGGGACCCGTGGGGGCCGAGGCAGTGCCGCTCAGCTGACACCACGCCCCCTGCAGGACCAAGCTCCTGGAGAGCGAGGCCATGAACGAGTCCCTGCGTCGCAGCCTCTCCAGGGCCTCAGCCAGGGGCCCCTACTCCCTGGGTGCATCCCCAGTCGCCCCAGCCAGCTCCATGGAGGATGCCTCTGAGGTCATCCGCAGGGCCAAGCAGGACCTGGAGCGGCTCAAGAAGAAGGAGGTCAGGCAGCGGAGAAAGAGGTGAGGGGAGGCTCCCCAGGGCAGGCCCCCAGACCCTGCCACCTGTGCACAGCACTCACCTGGGGTGCCCTGGGGACTCACTGAGCGGGCCTACCTTTTGGACAGAAGCCTCCCTCCTCTCTCTGATGCAATGCTCTCCTCCAAGGGGAGGGAGGGTGGAGTCCCCCAGCGTTAATTCTGGGCTGGGGGCTAGGGAAGAGCGGTAGGTCCCTGCAGAGCAGGGACGAGACACTGCTATCCCCCACCCCCCTCCTGTTCCCTCTCCTGTCCCCACCACAGCCCTGCCCACACACTTAAGGCATGGGAGTCCCCTAACCTGCCCACCCTTCACTCCTGCGCAGCCCAGAGAAGGAGGCCTTCAAAAAGAGGGCAAAAATCCAACAGGAAAACAGCGAGGAGACCGATGAGAATGAGGCTGAGGAGGTGAGGGACCCCCACCCCCTCATGCTACCCCCGTCCCTGCTGCAGTGGGGGTCCCCACTGACATCCTTGTACAGGGAGGGGAAGGGGCTGGGCCAGCCTCCAGGTGATCTTTGAGTCTCCTGGCATCTCTGGTCTCCACAGTGATGTCCATCCCGTAGCCCCTCACCCCGAATGGTGATGTGGGTGGGAGGCTCCCCCAGAGGGGCTCTGGCTAGGCTGCTGGAGAGTGGGGGGCTCTCCCAGGAGGGAGGGTGAACGGAGGGCCCCCACCATGCCTCACCCCACTCCTCACCCCCGACGCCCCGAGTGTGGAGGGCCAGCTGCCCTGATGGTGCCCGTACCCAGGAGGACGAGGAGCAAGAGGAGAGCGGCTGTGAGGACGAGGACGAGGACTCAGGCAGCGAGGAGAGCCTGGTGGACTCGGACTCTGACCCCGAGGAGAAGGGTGTGTGCTCCTGGGGGGGTACGTGGGGCTGCTGCTGTCCACGCCCAGAGACGCTGCTCGGGGTAGTGGATGTCTGGGGCCCGGAACTCAGGCGGGAAACCAGTGACAGTAGGAACAACAGGGATGCAAACCCTCACTGGTGCCCGGTGTGCCTGGCCCTGAGCTAGCTCAGCCTGCACATGCCCCGCCCTCTCCATCCTCAGAGGTGTTAGGACCCCTCCCTTTGTCACCATTGAGGAGGCTGGTGACCTCCCCCAGTGTGGCAGATGCAGAGCTCAGCCTCGGACCTAGGTCCGGCTGGCCCGAAGCCCACTCCTCTAATCAGGACGCGTGCCCCTCAGCTCGGCCCTGCCTCCACTTTGGCCCCAGAGTCCTGCAGCTGCTCTGGGTCCTCTCCCTCCTTCACCTGCGCTGGCTCCCAGGCTGTGCACAGTGGGTGGGCATCGGGCTCTGGCACAGCAGGGGTGGGCGAGACGCCTGATCCTCACCCACCTCCTGGGCCCGGCCCTGCACTTCCAAGGCTGCTCTTTAGAGGTGCCCCCCCACCCCCTGCAGCACCTGCCCACCGTGGGCCATGTCATTTCCTCTCGCCGCTGGTCACTGGCTGGTGGCAGCTGGCCAGGGGAAGGCCCGGCCCCCTCCACCTGGCCCCTGGCCCCGGAGGCCGGGTCCAGCCTGTCTCTGCTCCTGCAGAGGTGAACTACCAGGCAGACCTGGCTGACCTGACCTGCGAGATCGAAATCAAGCAGAAGCTGATTGACGAGCTGGAGAACAGCCAGCGGCGGCTGCAGACGCTCAAGCACCAGTACGAGGAGAAGCTGATCCTGCTGCAGAACAAGATCCGGGACACACAGCTGGAGCGCGACCGCGTGCTGCAGAACCTCAGTGAGGCCCCGCCCACCCCGCCACCCGAGGCCCCGCCCCCGCTCCATGAGGCCCCTCCTCCCGGGCCCCGTCCCCTTTCCCGAGGCCCCGCTCCATCCAAAGCCCTGCTGTGGGCAAGGCCTTCTGACCTTGCACTGTGCTCTTCCTCCCAGTCAGAAAGTTCTTGTGTCCAACCCTAGTCCCTGTGCTGAACTCTCAGTTTATTGTTACTATTTTTACCAGAACCTTAATTATTAGAATCCTTTCTGTCCCCAGGCTCACGAGCGCAACCCTCCTCAGCTCCTTCCCCTGCATTCGCCCTGGGGTATTTCCTTTGCGCCCGTTCACAAACCTGCTTCTCCCGGGCTGTCATCCTACGCGGCTCTCAGCCCACTCATTCATTCCTGCCTTCCCTCATTCATTCACGGACTCAGCAACCTTTGTTGAATGCGTCTTACAGAGCGGACGCTGATCTGGATGCTAGAGATACTGGGGTTTGTGTTCTGCTGAGGACAGACAGACATAAACAGGAGAAACAGCAGATTCTATAGCATGTCTGCTGGGATAGGCATTACGAAAAAATGCAGCCGGGAAGAGGGACAGGGCATGCGGGGGAGGGGTGGGAGCGTTAAAGAGGATGGTCATGGGAGATTTCGCTGAGAAGCTGACATCAGAGCTAGAGCTCAGAGGAGGTAAGATAGTGCTGGAGCCAAACGAGTGTGGGGAAGAGCATTGCAGGAAGAGGGAACAGAAGACGCCAAGGCCCCGAGGCAGGCATGTGCCTGGCAGGTTGGCAGAATGATGAGGGGGCAGATGGCTGGAGCACACTGAGGGGTCAGAAGCAGCAGAAGAGATCAGAGGAGTGTGGGACCAGGAGTGTCAGCCATTTGAAGGACATTTGTCTTATTCTCCATGGGAGACGGAAGAGTGGAGTTTTGAGGGACAGGATGTAAGCTTTAAAAGCATTTTGACAAGATCGCTCCGGCTGCTGTGTGGGGAACGCGAGTGAAAGTTGAGCGCAGTTAGGAAACTGCTGTAAAGGTCCTGGTGGGAGAGGGTTTGGCCTGGAGGTGGTGAGAGGTGGATACATTGTGAGGGCGGAGACAAGGCTTTGTTGGTTGATTGGCGGGGAATTCAGAGAGGGCAGCCAAGGGTATCTCCGGGGATGAGCTTCAGGAAAGACGTGATGGTGGACACTGAGATGGCGAGGGCATGGGGACTGGGAGGTGGGTCAGCCCCTGTTTGCCACGTCGGTTGGACGTGCATGTGGAGATGCAGTTCAGGTAGGAAAGGCCGAGCGTGGAGAACCAGTTTGCTCCTTCTGCCCGAGCCCAAGTCACTCTGGCTTCTCCTGCCCACTCTTCCCCTTCCCCCTGGCCCCAGCCCTTTCCTCCAGTCACGGGTCAGAACTGAGCCAGTGGGAAGCCCCCGGGACACTCAACAGGAGCTCAGAGCTCTCAAGATGAAAACACCCCGTCACGGTCCCTCAGAGAATCGCAGTGGGAAAGGCCTTGGTCCCTTCTAGTCTGAGCACCGCCCCCTCCCGGGTTCACATGGAGGGACAGGCAGTGGAGGGTTCGAGCCTGGAGCCCGGGCCACCTGCGGCATCTGAGCCCACAGCAGCCCAGTTGCCAGACACAGGCCGTGGTGCCGACCGCTGCCCCCACCGCGCACAGGTACCATGGAGTGCTACACGGAGGAGAAGGCCAACAAGATCAAGGCTGACTACGAGAAGAGGCTGCGGGAGATGAACCGCGACCTGCAGAAGCTGCAGGCCGCACAGAAGGAGCACGCGCGGCTGCTCAAGAACCAGTCTCGCTACGAGAGGGAGCTGAAGAAGCTGCAGGCCGAGGTGGCCGAGATGAAGAAGGCCAAGGTGGGGGCCGGGGCTCGGCTGGGGTGACACCCAGGTCGGGGCTGGGGGCAGGGGCGGGTGACGTCAAGGTGGTGGCTGGGGGCGGGGCCACGATGAAGGAGGCCAAGGTAGGGGAGATGGGCTGGGGGGCAATGTAGTCTCAGAACCCACTTTCTTGTTAAAAATAATCATCACTGTCAGTGAGGATGGTAATCTTGACACACGGTGTTGCCTGGTTCAGCCCCGGCCCGGCCCCAGACACTGTCTTAGCCAGGGTGCCGTCAGGGCCCCACTCTTCACTGCTCCTGGGTCTGTGCCGCCGTTGCTAAAGACAACAACAACAACACCCGTGACCGTTGTGGGGATGCTTGCTGTGGCTTTCGGCCAGTTGCCCAGCACCGTGACCACATCCAGTCCCCAGGAGAAGCTCGGGAAGGAAGCTCTGGTGTGGTCCCCACGCTGCGTGTGGGAAGCTGGGGCTCAGAGCGGGTCCAGCCCCCTAGAGCAGCGCTGGGACCCACTCTGTTCGCTGCCTCGCTTTTCTACTTGCCGGGACTCCGGGCACTCGAGTCTGGCTCCTGGGTCTTCCGCCTCCGTGTCAGGCAGGCTCTCATTCTCACCCAGGCCCTCGGGTGCATTCTCCCTTTGTGTCCTCCACCCCCCGGGTTCCTGCCCAGGCCCTGTCCACCCCGTGTACCCAGCCCTCCACAGCCCTGGGCTAGGCCCTGCGGCAGGACCCCAGAGAGCTGTGGAGGGCTGGCCTTGGGAACGGCCCCCGCAGAGGGGATCACCCGGTGCTCTTGGGGCTGACTGGGCTGGTGTTGACCAGTGTGCAGAGGAGAGAGGCTACAGAGTGACGTAGACTCTGAGTGGTGGGCCCGCAGCCATCAGGCGCAGCCACCTGTCCTGGGCAGACTCTGTCCCCAGCCAGCCTGGGCCACATGTCCAGGGCCCCATCAGCCTGGCCAGGTGGAGAAGGGCCCGTCCTGCTGTGCCCAGACTAGCCGTTCTGCGCTGGCCGCTAGGGGGCCTTTTGCCCGTGGACCGCATCTGTAGGTGCTGAGACAGGGCTGCAGGGCAACACGGGGTGGGGGGGGGGGCTTGGGTCAGCGGGCGCCCTCTGGTGGCAGGAGGGAGAGACGGGGCCTTGGTCGTCTCCACTTGGGGTCTATGCGCCCTGCAGATCCTGGAGCAGTTCTGGGGGGTCTGCCAGCATCCGCAGTCTGTCTCCCTGGAGGCTCCCTGGCTAATGCCTCTCACGGTGGCCCCGGCAGTGCTGGCCAGCTGCTGTCTCAGCAGGAGGTGACCCTACGGTACAGCCTTATGAGGGAGGACCATCTCTGAAGCCTGGAAAAATAATGTAATAATGCTCAGGATGTGTGTGAAGGACAGAGGGTCCCTGTGTGTTCCTGGGTTTCAGTCTCAGCCTGCTCGGCCCTTCAGCCGGGGACCGGCTTTGCCCAGCTCACTGCGCTTTTGTGAGCCTGGGAAAGAGGCTGAAAAGAATATACTTGGGCCGTCCCAGGATCTCTGTCGGAAGGACAGAAGCCAAGCTGGATGCCCTGAGAGCCAGTGCCCGAGACCCTGCTGCCACAGTTCAGGGCCAGGCCCTGCAGTTACACAGGTGTCCTAGGGAGAGGGGGCAAGTCTTCTGCACACCTCAGGACAGCGCCGACCTCAGGCACTGTGCCGCCATGTGCCCGGAATGTATCTACCCATCCTGAGACCACCACCCCTGTGATGACCTTGGCAGGGCTCAGCCACCCGTGCAGAGCTGGGCAGACAGATGGGCCTTTGTCCAGAAAGATGCATCCCTCCCCGGGAGGCCCCCAGCCCAGACCCCAGAAGAGGGCCGCCGTCTGGGTGTGCACGCAGCTTTCAGTGTGTGGATTCAGGTCCAGTCCTAGCTGACACCTCACTTGCTCTCATCGTCCCCAGCCCTTTGGGGGAACATTCAGCCTGGACCCCAGAGGCCAGCAGCAGGGAGCCCTCCTTCTCTCTGCAGATCCCCCCAACAGAGCATGCCTCCTGGGGGAGGAGCCAACGCAGTCACCCGGCCCCTCCCCCCCCAGGTCGTTTCTCCTCCCTGCTGACCTGGGGCAGCCTGCTGACATTCCCGGGGTGTCTGAGGCCTCAGTGGCAGAGGAGGACCACCTGCACCTGATTCTCATGCCACTGTCATGTGAGAGGAGTCTGACCCCTATGCACTGTGCACTCTGTGCCTTGGGTACTGGGACGTGAGGGTCAGGGGGGCGGCTCCCCATAAGGCCAGGTCACCTCTGGCCACACCACACTGGTGGTGCTCTGTGCCTCTGGCCGGGCCTCTGAGAACTTGGCTCCAGGCCCTGTGCTCGGTGGCCAGCTCTGCTGTGACCTGCAGTGATGCTGTCCCTGTGGCCATGCTAGGAACTGAGGCAAAATGACCTGGACTAGAAGTCTGGCCACTTGTTACTTTAAGTCACTTTGTCTCACTGAAGCTCATTCCCCATTTATAAAACGGGAGCGATCATGCCTCTCTTGTATGATCATCATGAGGACGGGGCCTGGCGTGGACCGTGGTCTCAATAAACGATGCTGGTTTTTATTGTCATCACCGTGAGCCTGGCCTGGGCGTGTGCAGGTCAGCAGCTCAGCTGTGGGTGGGAGAGAGGTCAGGTTCCATCTGGCGGGGTGGCTGGCCTCCAGCCCCTCAGGCCAGTCCTAGGATGGCTGGACCAGGCAGTGGCTTTGGGTGAGGGCTACCAGGAGCCGCGACATTCCGAGCGGTGGAGGCCGTGGTGGGACCCAGCAGGGTGGCTGCACCGGCACAGCCGGGCTGGCAGTGGGGCTGCTCCTGGCGGTCGGTTGACCCGGCTGGGGGGCAGCTCCAGCCCCCACTGATGAGGCTATGGGCACCCACCGCTCCCGCCACCCCTCTGCCATCCCAGGTGGCCCTGATGAAGCAGATGCGGGAGGAGCAGCAGCGGCGGCGGCTGGTAGAGACCAAGAGGAACCGGGAGATCGCTCAGCTCAAGAAGGAGCAGCGGCGACAGGAGGTGAGGGGTGGCCTTGAGGACATCCGGGTCCCCAGGGTCCCTGTGCCCGGGCCTCAGCTCCTGCCGCCCCGAGCAGTGACAGGCGATGGTCCGATGCCGAAGGGCAGGACCCCTGCAGGCCCTGGTGCAGCCCCCTGTGGTTCAGAGCAGGGCCTGGAGCCCAGCTCAGGGCAGGGAGCTGCCAGGTCCCCAGCAGGCCCGTGTAGGGCTGTACAGCTTCCAGCCCTGCAGAGAGGCCCCTGCCCTCTGGTCCAGAGCTCCCCGCCCGAAGTGGGGAGAAGAGGCCCGGAGACTAGTTCTTGTGCAGAAAGGGGCCCACATGGTGGCCTCGGGGAAAGGCCATTAAGCCCTTTGCCAACGAGTTTTGGCTGCACGAGGGTTGCCCCGAAAGCCACGCCCTCACATGCAGAGCAGGCCAGGCCTTCCCAGCCCAGCCTGCACAGACCCGGCTCAGGGCCTGAGTGTGGACCCCACCTCTTCTCCCACCCACAGTTTCAGATCCGGGCTCTGGAGTCCCAGAAGCGGCAGCAGGAGATAGTCCTGAGGAGGAAAACCCAGGAGGTGAGCTCGGCTCCTCCCCTGCGGCCCCGCCATGTCCCCTCTCCTGGGGGCGCCCCGTGGCCCTGGCTCCCCCCTCGCTTCGTGCTCTGACTCTGGGTGGCCTGTCTCGGCAGGAGAGCTTAGGCCCCAGGGGCAGGCTGCTGGCGCTTGTCCAAATGCCTGAGACGCTCGTTTTAAAAGAGGGAAGTCTCCTTTGTGTTCATTTCCCATCCGAGACCCCTTGGCCCTTTCTCAGTCCCAAACCCAAGCCAGGACGGAGCAGCCCCCATCTCCTCCCTGCCAGGCACCCTCAAGCTGGGCCTTTCTGTGGGCTCCGGGGCACCCTGCTCACCAGGCCCCCTCCTCTGGGCCCCCAGGTTTCTGCACTGAGGCGCCTGACCAAGCCCATGTCTGAGCGGGTGGCGGGGCGAGTGGGCCTGAAGCCGCCCATGCTGGACTCCGGGGCCGAGGTGTCGGCCAGCACCACCTCGTCCGAGGCCGAGTCGGGGGCCCGCTCCGTCTCCAGCATCGTGCGTCAGTGGGACCGCAAAATGGGCCACTTCTTGGGGAACCACCCCACGCCTGCTGTGCCTGGCACCCGCCCTCCCAGGTGAGGCAGTGGGGGCACCTGGCCCATGGGGGCGGGCCCAGGGAGAGGCAAGCGCCAGGGTCCCCTCGGCTGTCAGCTCTGGGTCAGGGGCTCCACGCGGTTGCCGAGACTGAGGGTGGTCCTGCCGGGACCCCTTGGCCTTGGTCCCCCAGAAAGAAGTTCCAGAAGAAGGGGGCCAGCCAGAGCTTCAGCAAGGCCGCCAGGCTGAAGTGGCAGTCCCTGGAGCGGAGGATCATCGACATCGTCATGCAGAGGATGACCATCGTCAACCTGGAGGCCGACATGGAGCGGCTCATCAAGGTGGGCTGCCGCCCCTTCCCGTCTCCTCCCTCAGCCTGGAGCCCCTCTGGGAGCTGCGCGCAGGGGCGGGGCCGGCAGCACCCTGAGGCCTCCTCCCTCCCCCCAGAAAAGGGAGGAGCTGTTCCTCCTGCAGGAGGCGCTGCGGAGGAAGCGGGAGAGACTGCAGGCCGAGAGCCCGGAGGAGGAGAAGGGGCTGCAGGAGCTGGCGGAGGAGATCGAGGTGCTGGCCGCCAACATCGACTACATCAATGACAGCATTGGGGACTGCCAGGCCACCATCGTGCAGCTGGAGGAGACCAAGGTGCCTGTGGGCTGGCCGGGCCGGGGCGGCGGGCACTTGGGCAGGTGGGGCCGTCCTGGTGACACAGGCCCTCTGCCTCCCGGTCCCAGGAGGAGCTGGATTCCACAGACACGTCGGTGGTCATTAGCTCCTGCTCGCTGGCCGAAGCCCGTCTCCTGCTGGACAACTTCCTGAAGGCGTCCATCGACAAGGTGGGCTGGCATCAACATGTGCATTTTGGGGAGAGGATTCAGCCCATTTGGGGAGTGTGTCCTGCAGCGTGAACGTGGGGAAGGTGAAGGGGGCTGGGGTGCATCTCAAGTCCGTGGCAGGCACAGGTGAGGTCTGGGGACTAGTGGGAGGCCCTCCAAGCGTCTTGGGAGCAGATTTGGGGAGGGCAGTGATGGGGTCCCCACAGCCCCAAGCTGAGCTAAGGTAACCCCAGAGCTTGCTCCCCACCCGCAGGGGCTGCAGGTGGCTCAGAAGGAGGCCCAGATCCGGCTGCTGGAGGGCCGGCTGAGGCAGACAGACATAGCGGGCTCCTCCCAGAACCACCAGCTGCTGGACGCCCTGCGGGAGAAGGCGGAGGCCCACCCCGAGCTGCAGGCCCTCATCTACAACGTGCAGCAGGGTACGGGACGGGGCGGCGTGGGGCGTGGGCCTCGGGGCCCCAGACACTCCCGGGGCTCCCTGCCTCCGGCCCTGCAGACCCTTTCCTGCCCAGGCTCCCCAGAGGCCCTGCCTGATCCCAGAGGGTGAGGGGGGAAGGGAGGCCGTCCCCTCCCACTTGCACGCCGTGGGGCCTCACCCCTCCACTCCCTCCGCAGAGAATGGCTACGCCAGCACAGATGAGGAGGTTTCCGAGTTCTCTGAGGGGAGGTGAGTTTCCGGGGCGGGAGTGAGTGGTGGGCTCGCAGCTGTGAGGGGGTCTGGGGCGAGGGGATGCTGTAGGGTCCCAGGGCTGGGGGCTCTCTGGGACTCACAAGTCCAAGTCCCAGGGAGCCAGGACGCTTGCTGCCAGCATCCTGACCGGTCACCCCAACCCTGTTTCCTCCTTAGCTTCTCCCAGTCGTTCACTATGAAAGGCTCTACCAGCCATGACGATTTCAAGTTCAAGGTAAGCCCCACAGAAGGTAGGCAGAGGCCCCCCGCAGCCTGGTCTCTGCCTTCCTGTGGCTCTGCCCTCACCCCCAGCCCCAACCCAGGGTTGCCTCCAGCTGGGATGCAGGTGCCAAGAAGGGTCTAACCTGGCGCTGTGGTGCTGCCCAGACGTGTGACCTGTGACAGCCCAATCACTGTGAAGAGGGTGGAGTGATGTCACCGTAGCCAGAGGCCCCACTTTCAGAAACCTCCCTCTTCCCCACCCTAGACTCTGCCTCCTGCTGAGTCAGAGGCTAACCCTAGATGTCTGGTATCCTGCGTGCAGATAACTGATTCAACAGTGAGGGGGTCTGCCTGACGTGGAGGGAGGGGTTACAAGGCTAGACTGAACCAAGAAACGGTTTACTAAAGGGAGAAGGGGGAAGCCTGTGGACTGGGAACAGTGAATTGGGCACAGCTTCTGTGTAAACTGATCAGCTGGTGAAGCAGAGGCCAGCCAAGGCATACTGTTCACAACGTGCAGATCAGGGTGAAGACCTTCCTGTTGGTTTGGACTCTGCAGGGGCCTGGAGAGACAGTCTAGGGGTGTCTGCCTGGCCCTTCCCTCAGCCCTTCTGCCTCGGGCAGGTGGCACGTCTCCCCCTGTGGGAAGTTCCCCAGCTCCCCCTTCTGTGTGGTCCTGTCCGGGCCAGTGGGCCCACTCAGCCCTTCCCGCCCCAGGGGGAGCCCACGCTGTCTGCCCAGATGAAGGCTGTGTCGGCCGAGTGCCTGGGCCCCCCGCTGGACGCCTCCACCAAGAACATCACCAAGTCCCTGGCCTCCCTGGTGGAGATCAAAGAGGACGGAGTGGGCTTCTCCGTCCGAGACCCCTACTACCGGGACAAGGTCTCGCGGACCATCAGCCTGCCCACCAGAGGGAGCACTTTGTAAGGAGGGGGCCGAGCTGGGGGTGGGGCCTGCGGGGGGAGCCAGGAGGTGGGCCTGGGCCTCACTGGACCCTCCGTTCCAGCCCCCGGCAGTCTCGAGGCGCCGAGACGTCCCCGCTGACCCGGAGGAAGTCTTATGACCGAGGGCAGCCCATCAGGTGAGGGCATGCTCCAGACCCTGTGGCAGGGTCGCTGCCCATCCAGTCCCGGGGGCGGGATGCCCGCTGTAGACCGCTGTGGACACTTTCATCTGGGCCCGCTCAGCTCCCCCATAGGCCCCTTCCCCACTTTGTCAGCCACAGCTCAGGTCCCCGCTGAGCTGGGGACCAAGCCTGCTGCTGAAACCTGCTGACTGCTGGGAGCTCAGTGTGGGCAGCTTTGCTGTGGCCATGACTGGCTATTGGACCGATGTGCTTCTGCCCCAGTCATGGCTGCCGGTCCTTTCAGGGACTTGTCACGTGGGCGGAGTTAGAAGGGAAGGACAGCCAGGAGGTGACACAGAGCCGTGGCAGGTCCCCAGCCGGCCAGCCTCTCAGGGCCCCGTGGGCTTCTGCAGGTCTCCAGATGCCTCTCCAGCTCATCTAGATCTTCAGAGCTGTCTGGTGGCCTCCCCGGGTCCCACAGAGAAGCAGGAGAAGGACAGGGCTCAGGTGCCCCCTTGCACCTGCCGTGGCGGCGGAGGACTTACCCCCGTCCCTCTCTCCTGTCTCCGAGCCCGGGCTCATGGCTTGCAGACGGGCCTCCGGTGGGAGGAGCCGAATGACCTCTGTGCACCTGGGGCCCCTCAGGCCACCGCGTCACCCTGGAGCACACTGAATTTGTGGTTGGGGGCGATTTAGTCTGAACTCACGATGGCTGTCCAGGGAAGGGGGGATTTGGCTGAACCTGAGGACAGCTGTGCCAGGAGAGGGGCCGCGGTAACGGACGGGGCAGGCCCATGCGGTCTGGGACTCCCCCGCCCCCACCGTCGGGTCCCGCTCTTGGCAGCACTACGGTTCCTGAGTCACTGAGCACTGACTCGGTGGCCCTGAGCCACTAAGGCGGGACGGGGCTGGGCCTCTGAGCCGCAGCGTTCTCATCAGCCCATCACGGGGGTTCTGTTCACGGCACCTTGTCTAAAAGGTGTCGTTAGTCCATGCACACTGGCCTCATGGCCAACAGCGCAAGGACTCACGCCTGAGCAAAGCTCCTCTCACGTGCACTTTCTCCAAAAATCATGCCCGGCTTCCCGGAGCTCAGGACACCACAGCCCTGCAGCACCATTTCAGCCTGACATCACCAACAAAGGGCACAAAAGTACACCCAGCGCGGCGCTAAGCAGACTGTGGGAAAGCCGCGTGTGTGCGGCGGGCGGCGGGCGGCGCCCCTCTGGGCCTCCGCCGGAGCGCGTGCGCTTGGGGACTCAAGTTTTCGCTGCTGTCCTCATGTCTGCAAACAACCAGGAAAGCCCTTGGCGCTGTTTTGGGGTGACTAGTAGGCTGTAGTGAGCAGGTGAATTCCCAGACCCACGGAGAAGGAGGACTGGCTGTGGAAAGCAGCCCCCGGGGGCTGGGCGGCAGCCGGGCTGAGGGAGAACCTGCCCCGCGCGCCAGACAGCGACACAGACGGCCGCGCAGAGGTGCGGGTGCTAACAGGTGCTGCCCTGTGTCCCGCCCGCCTGCCAGGTCCACAGACGGGTTCACACCCCCCTCATCCCCTCCTACTCGGCCCCGCAACGACCGAAACGTCTTCTCTCGTCTCACCAGTAATCAGAGCCAAGGATCAGCACTGGACAAGTAAGAGTCAGGGGCCGGGGATGGGGCGGGAGCGCTGAGGGGACGGGGAGCCTGCGGGCCGGTCCTCGCCGCAGGCAGGTGGGGCGGCGGGCAGACCCTGGCCTCGCTGTTCTGGACCCTCTTGCGGCACCTGTGCCCTTTCTGTGCTGAGCGAGGACCCTGCCATGCCCTGGGCATGCCGGGACCGCAGGAGAGGCAGGAGGGGAGCCCCAGGACTGGGGCCGGGCAGCTGGGGCAGGGGAGGCCATGCACGTCGGGCACCTCGAGGGCCTCCCAAAACTGCCTCTGAATCCTCCTGTGGACTCTTAATTCCTCTCCGAAGCCCCTTCAGCTTCAACTTGCCTTCTCACTAACGCTGCGACCAGGCCCCAGTGCCCTCGTGAACCGTCCCTGCAGGAGACCCTGTCCCCTCCACATGGTGGGGCCAGCCCATCCCTCCTGACCCTCCCGCTGGGCACTCACCCACACACTGATGCGCGTCGCCCCCGCGCTGCGCTGGGCTGGCACACGTGAACTGCAAACCAGCCTCGTGGGTCGTATTCCGTGTTTTGCAAAGAGGAGCTGAGGCCCAGAGAGGCCCCAGGGTCCACCCAGAGGAGGCCC